GTTGTTCAGAATCCTACTTCATCTTGTTTTTTTAAATTTTTTATGTTCTTTATATACATGTACTGATGCCATTATTTGTACAGTGAGACACACATTTCTACAGAAAAGGCTACTCATAATATTATTTTAGGAAACAGTGAAACACGGAAATTTTAAGTCTAAATATATGTATATATGTACTGATGCCATTATTTGTACAGTGAGACACATATTTCTGCAGAAAAGGCTACTCATAATATTATTTTAGGAAACAGTGAAACACGGAAATTTTAAGTCTAAATATATGCACATATGTACTGATGCCATTATTTGTACAGTGAGACACATATTTCTGCAGAAAAGGCTACTCATAATATTATTGTAGGAAACAGTGAAACACGGAAATTTTAAGTCTAAATATATGCACATATGTACTGATGCCATTATTTGTACAGTGAGACACATATTTCTGCAGAAAAGGCTACTCATAATATTATTTTAGGAAACAGTGAAACACGGAAATTTTAAGTCTAAATATATGCACATATGTACTGATGCCATTATTTGTACAGTGAGACACATATTTCTGCAGAAAAGGCTACTCATAATATTATTTTAGGAAACAGTGAAACACGGAAATTTTAAGTCTAAATATATGCACATATGTACTGATGCCATTATTTGTACAGTGAGACACATATTTATCAAACCAGATACAGTAAATATACAGAATTTGAACAATTATACATGTACATGTGCACATGTCTTTATAATTATTTTTTCTAATCCTCAGATACGTCACAGCCATCTTCTTCTACCTCTCAGCCACCAAAGCCGCAAAAGAAATATCCTAAAATGAGAGAATATTTTGTTAAATGGGAGGGGAAGTCCTACTGGGAGTGCTCATGGGTACTGGAGACTGGGGTAAGCATCTCTATCCCTCTCTCTCTCTCTCTCTCTTGCTTTTCATATTTCTCTCGTGATTTCAACAATTGTTTCTTTTTTTTGCTCTCTCTCCTCCTCCAGCTTGATGTCCACCAAGGCAACACTCTTCGTCCGTACATGCGAAAGCACAACATGGAGACTCCACCTCCTTTGGAACTCCCCGCCCACTTGGAAAGACGCAGAAGAAGGCGGAGCTCGCACTACGACGAGAAGATGGAAGAGAAAGAACTAGTGTTACTGAAAGCAGGTGTTCATCCAGAGTGGCTAATCATCCAAAGAGTCATTAACTCTAAGTAATTTAGTATAATCTAGTATATTCTAGGATATTCTAGTATATTTTAGTGCACTTTGGTATATTTCAGTATATCTTTTTATAATAGGACGTCGAAAAAGTTTGGCACCCTTTACCTAGTCAAGTGGAAGGATCTTCCGTATGATAAAGCAACTTGGGAAGCTCTTGATGAGTCTTCACACATAAGGGGAGCTGCTGCAGCCATCAAGCAATATGAAGAAATGAAGTAATTTATAACTAACGTTTATATTGACTACATGTACATGTACTTATTTATTAAATATTTAATTTTTAAGCAGAGCCAAGTATCATCAAGAGGCGCCTGTCGTGACTAAAAAGAAGAAACAAAAAACGCCAAAACAGCCAAAACCTGTCGATGTAAGTTTGTAATAAAAGTAATAATAACTACACTGTATAATGTGCATTTACAAACTACATGTACATGTACATGTACATGTATGTATGTGTACATTTATGTACATGTAATGTAAATATGTATGTATGTAATGTATGTGTACATTTACAAACTACATGTACATGTGCAGTATATGTGCATGTATATGTAGATGTACATGTATGTGTACTTGTTTTCATATTATTTAATAGCCAAAGAAGAAGTATACGGTACAGCCTGACTACATATCTCAGACCGGCGGTACACTGCATCCATACCAGCTGGAGGGGATTAACTGGATTAGGTTCTCTTGGGCTCAGAACACTAACACTATACTGGCTGATGAGATGGGACTAGGGAAAACAATACAGACCATATCGTTCTTATATTCACTTGTGAAAGAGGTGAGGGAGGGAAGGGAAAAGTATAGAGATTATAGAGAGGATTAGGTGAAGAAGAAGAGCTTAATATGTTATACAATGTACATGTAGTTCCTAAGTTGCTCAAGAACTGGGCTAAATTCCCTGTACTATAGTACACAGTCTTGAGCCGAATTCCGCCAAAATTGAAAAGAAGAGAATTCCTTATTTTTATGATCTTTCTGATACGTATACATGTACTTATATTGCTTAGAAAGTTTGAGCCAATTCTGGCCAAAATTAGATTTTATCTACTGTATCATGTACATGTATAGGGTCACACTAACGGCCCATTTCTAATAAGTGCCCCTCTCTCCACCATCATCAATTGGGAGAGGGAGTTTGAATTCTGGGCACCAGATCTATACGTGGTCACCTACCACGGCAGCAAGGACAACAGAGCCATCATCAGGTAAGTGGGCGTGTTGTGGGTGTGGCTATAGTAGATTAACCACACCCCCAGGGAACACGAATTTTCATTTGTCAGCGGAGCAGTCAAAGGGACATCCAAGCAACTGCAGAGAGTTAAAGTATGTGGTGGGCGTGGTTTGTGGTTAATTAGTGGGTTTGGTTTTTTATAGAAAGACTTGCCGATAAAGTTTAACGTGTTATTAACATCTTATGAATACGTGAGCGTTGATGCTACAGTATTGCAGAGCATAAACTGGGCAGTGCTGGTGGTAGATGAAGCACATAGGCTCAAGAATAACCAATCAAAGGTACGGTATATGTACATGTATTGTACATGTACATGTAAATACATGTGCAGTATAAATACACATATTTATGTTATTCCATGTTGTCTTAGTACATGTTTTGTCACACATAGATGTTACAAATTGCATCTAATTTCTTGTATTTAATATGTACACGTACATGTATAATGTATTTTACATTTACTGTATATGTATGAATCTTGTTTCTACATTTACATGTACATGTACATATATTTAATGCTTTCTCTCTCTCTCTCTCTCCCATTATTCAGTTCTTTCGTGTTCTTTCTCAATATAAGATAAAATACAAGCTATTGTTAACAGGGACTCCACTTCAAAATAATTTAGAAGAGCTCTTCCATTTATTGAACTTTCTCAGTCGAGATAACTTCAAGTTAGTAATTGGGTGTCACTAGTTTATTAACGTATACATCTACGTGTGTAGCTCCTTGGAAGAGTTTCAAGAAGAATTTGCCGATATTTCAAAAGAGGATCAAGTAGGTGGAGTCTTGTAGTCATGATGATATGACCACGCCTATTTTAGGTTAGCAAGCTTCATGACATGCTGGCCCCTCATTTACTAAGACGACTAAAGGCTGACGTACTGAAGGTATAACATGTGATATAAATCTACATGTACATGTACATATACATACATGTATGTAGCTATTTATGTTTTTTTAATTTTTGTAGAATATTCCTTCAAAGACCGAGCTTATTGTCAGGGTTGACTTGGCTCCAATGCAAAAGTAACATTAATGTTTACAATCAATGTCTTATTGTTACTACATCTCCTCTGTGTCTTCTTAGGAAATTCTATCGCTGGATATTGACTAAGAACTTTGAGAAGTTAAACACGAAAGGAGCTAAACCTGTTAGCCTCATAAACATAATGATGGACCTAAAGAAGTGTAGTAATCATCCTTACCTCTTTCCCACTGCTGCTGAAGTTAGTTCTCTCTCTCTCTCTCTCCCCCCATCTCTCTCTCTTTCTTTCTCTGTATGAAATTTATAGTCTTTTAATAGCTGCTTCATATAATTGATAGTTATAAATAGTTATTGATGGTTATTAGTGGCTATTAATATTATAGGAGGCCCCACTAACAGCTGGCGGTTATTACGAGGGAACTGCTCTCATTGCTAGCTCAGGGAAACTCATAGTACTAGAGAAAATGTTAAAGAAACTAAAGGAGAGCGGACATCGTGTCCTGATATTCTCACAGATGACAAAAATGCTGGATATACTAGAGGACTTCCTGGAGCACCTCTCTTATAAATATGAGCGGATCGATGGAGGAGTAACTGGGAGTGAGAGGCAGCAATGCATTGATAGATTTAATGGTGAGTGTATAATAATGATGGACTGCAATCTGTAGTAAATACATATATTTAGTATATGATTTTAATTTTAATTCTTATGCTGCACAATTATAGAATATGTACATGTACATGTACATTACTACACTTAGGGCTTTTCATCTTCTTTTTATTTTTTCTTTTCCTATTTTTTCTTTTCCTATTTTTTCTCTTTGTTGCTTTCTCTAGCTCCTGGTGCCGAGCAGTTTGTGTTTCTCCTCTCAACCCGTGCAGGGGGTCTGGGCATCAATTTAGCCTCGGCTGACACCGTCATTATTTTTGATAGTGACTGGAACCCTCACAACGATGTGCAGGCTTTCAGCAGAGCACACAGAATAGGACAAGCAAATAAAGTGAGGGAGAGGGAGAGAGAATATTCCTTAATTTATTACTATCACTGTTAGGTCATGATTTATCGTTTTGTGACGAGAAATTCCGTAGAAGAACGAGTTTGTGAGGTAAGTCATTAATGTCTATTTTTAGTAACGAGTGCATGACGTCATTCTATTAATAAACAATATACGTACATTTACTGTAGGTTGCCAAACGTAAAATGATGTTGACTCATCTCGTGGTAAGAGGCGGTCTTGGATCTACCACAAACCAGCCGTCACTTAGCAAGAGGGAACTTGACGACATACTCAAGTTTGGAACCCAAGACCTCTTTAAAGGTAAGCCACGCCCATTTTGGTTGGTTAAGCCACGCCCGTTTTTAATAGATCAGGGTCAGGATGGCGAGGAGTCTATGGGTATAGTGTATGATGATAAAGCAGTGGAGGCTCTGCTGGACAGGAGCCAGGGGTCTGGGGAAGATGGGCCTGATGAGAATCTGTTAGCTAATGAATATCTGAGTCAGTTTAAGGTAAGATGCATATCGATGTACTTATGCTGTGTAGCAAGTTTGAGCGAATTCCGACAAAATTTTTTCAAGTTATGGCCATTTGAAGAAAACATCAAAATTCTGAAAAATACCCAAGGCTATAGCCCATGGTTTTTTTCAAAAAATGGCTCCGAAATCACCCCAAATTTTTATTACATTTTCTGATACATATTGATGTCCTTATGCTGTGTAGCAAGTTTGAGGTGATTCCGACTTCAATTTTTCAAGTTACGGCCATTTTAAGAAAATGCCAAAATTCTGAAAAATACCCAAGGCTATAGCCCATGGTTATAGCCCATGGTTTTTTCTAAAAAATGGCTCCGAAATCACCCCAAATTTTTATTACATTTTCTGATACATATTGATGTACTTATGCTGTGTAGCAAGTTTGAGGTGATTCCGACTTCAATTTTTCAAGTTACGGCCATTTTAAGAAAACGCTAAAATTCTGAAAAATACCCAAGGCTATATATAGCCCATGGATTTTTCCAAAAAATGGCTCTGAAATGACCCCAAATTTTTATTACATTTTCTTGTACATATTGATATCCTTATGCTGTAAAGAAAGTTTGAGCTGTTTCCAACATATATTTTTCAATTTATCAGCATTCTGCAGTTTTATTACATTTTCTCATTTTTTTCTGATGCATATACAGTACATGTACTTGCTCTGTATATAAAACTGATTGGCATTTCTTTCTCAAGGTTGCTAGCTATGTCATGAAAGAAAAAGGCGAAGAGCCAGAGGCTGAACCGGAAATAATACAGGTAAGCTACGAGTCACATGACTATCACATGTACATGTACATGTACTCGTAGACCGAAGAACCGGAGACTCCAAACGATGCCGACTTTTGGGAGAAGTTATTACGCCATCACTACGAGCAACAAAAAGAGATTGAAGCAGCTAAACTAGGCAAAGGAAAGAGAGTCAGAAAACAGATCAACTACATGGACACAATGAGCACTGATTTATCCGAGCTTAAGGGAGGTATGTTCTATTGAAATTTAATGACCACACCCCTTTTATGACCACGCCCATTAGAAGAAGGAGACGATGAGTCTATATATGAGGAATCTGATGATGCAATGACTGATGAAGAGAGTGACGATGAAGTTGATTTCTCAAGTTAGTTTTAATGAATAAGAATTTAATCAATTTATATTTATCCTTTTTCTCTCTCTCTTTCTCTCTCTCTCTCTCTCCTCTCTCTCTCTCTCTCTCCTTTAGCTGTTTCTCGGAGAAAAGCCAGAACAGCCTTTAAGTCAAAGTCGGAAGTTGTTCCTCCTCTTCTTGCTAAAATGAACAATACAATACATGTGAGTTTTATTAACGAATGTAGTTTAAATTTAGTCAGTGATATGTGTACAGCTGCAAGGTGTACATAGTCTGCCCACATGTACAGTATACCCTTTACTGTTGACTGCAGCTAATATTAATGCAATAGAGAGCAAGTTAGACTGATGTGGTACAATAGGTATCAGTGCTACATTTGCATGTACTTGCTTACAGACAAAATATTCAACAATTAATTTAATTGTTTTGTATTTAATGTACATGTGTCTATATACATGTACATGTAGTTTTGAATTCACTAGTTACATAATGATATATTTTTTATTCCTTAGGTGTACGGGTTCAACCCACGCCAAAGGAAGGCGTTCTTGAACAGCATCCTAAGATATGGGATGCCTCCTGATAATGCCCTCTCTTCATCATGGTTAGTAGAGGAATTCATTATTATTATTACTACTACTACTACTACATGTATAGGTTGCCCAAAGAGCTGAGGAATAAGAATGAAGCTACTTTCAAGTAATACACATACACACATACGTGTACATGTACATAAACATAAATGAAAAATCTACAAACATTAAACCCATTTCCCCCTTATAATGCCCACCATGTACATGTATGATGGTACTAACGATAAAAATACATACATGTATACTTGTACATGTACATGTACATGTACATGTACATGTACAAGTATGTGTGACTCATTCTTTTCCCTCTAGTGCTTATGTCTCAATGTTCATGCGTCATTTGTGTGAACCGGATACTCCTAATTCAGTGACTCATACTGACGGTGTCCCAAAGATGAGTGTACCAAGACAAAACATACTCACCAGGATTGGAGTAATGAAACTCATCAAAAATAAAGTACATACACGAATAAAAGTATTAATAAAACATCATATTGTACATGTACAGTACTCCAATTCAATCATTGAAATACATTTTGAAGGCTACATGTACATGTACTGTACATGCATTTGTTATTTTCTCTCCACAGATTGATCAGTATAATGAGTTAAATGGTAATTCCAGTATGCCCGGGGAACTTGCTCCTCCTCCTCCTCCTCCCCTCTCCTCTGCTACTGTGACTCTTGAGCCTTCTTCTGATAGAGAGGGAGAGCTAAAAACAGCCGGTAGTGAAGAGAATACATCAGTCAATAAGGATAAAGGTGAGTTTTATTGTAATTTGTTCTTATTTCTCTCTTTTAATCAGATGCTCCTCCTACTGCTCCTCCAAAAACTGATCCTCCATTAGTTACTGATAAAGTTGAGTCAAGTACAGCTGATGTCTCTGTCACCAAGCCATCTTCATCTCCTTTAAAATCAAAGCTCATGTTTAACATTGCTGATGGTGGATTTACTGAGCTACACTCACTATGGTCGGTAGAGAAGACACAAGGATACGATCCAACGAAATGGGGCAGGCATCATGACTACTGGCTTCTGAAAGGAATAGTGAAGTATCCTTCAAGCAAATTATATGTACATGTACATGTACATTAATGATAAATTTAATATTTACATGTACACGTATATTTAGTATATTACACTGCTTTCATGCAGCATCTATGCATGTACATGTATCAATATACAGTAAAATGCACATTTGCATTCTATAAAGGTCAAATGCATGTACATGTGTATCTGAAATTTTTATTTTTCTAAGTTATTTCTTTAACTTCTTCCCAAGACATGGTTATTGTCGTTGGTCTGAGATTTGTGCTGATCCTCATCTGTCGATTCTTAACAAACCCTTCACTCCCGAAGAGAATGCGTCTGACGCCAAGAACAGGTTCTTACTCAGAAGATTTAAGGTACTAAAATGTATAATTCTATATAAAATATTTTATGTTATTCATTTTTGCAACTTCCCTCTCTCTCTCTCTCTCTCTCTCTCTCTTTCAGTTATTGGAACAAGCACTAGCTATTGAAGAACAGCTCCACAGAGCATCAAGTGCTGGTCTTGTGCAAGATCCCAACAAATCTGTAATGTTATTGCATTCAAGGTAAGGGAAGGGAGCTAGTGAGATTATATAATGGACTTGTAAAATGTATAATTATTATTTTATATCTTTTAGGTTCACTGATTTGGATTGTCTTGCTGATGGCCACCAATCCTTAGTCAAAGACTGTTTGAATGGCAGCAAGTACAATGTACTACTAATGAGAAAAGGTAAGAAATCATCATCACCATCATTATTATTATTATTATTATTACTTCACAGCTCTTGGAAAGATGGAGGAGATATTACTTGAAATGAAGCAAGACATTAGCAAACTCTCAATGGAGTTGACCAAATGCTCCTCAGTCAGTCAACAGCTCAAAATAGACGAGCTCTCAATTTTAAGCAAGCTTGCCGGAAGAGAGAAATTCAACGGAACTGCTGGAATAAATAAAACCCCTGATATTAGCAGCACGACCCACCAGTCAGTCATAACTTCTGCCCCTCAAAATGGCAGCTCTTCAAAGATAAAATCTGTTCCAAAGACAATCCCTGCCGAAGTCCCCCCTGCTCCAGTTCAACTACAGCCCGAGGCTGTTACTATCCCCAAAGTTGCTACTCCTGGAGGAACAGGTCAAACCTTTACTGTTCCTCATTTTGTCGAGGGTGCCACAGTCCTGGTCCCCACCCAAACTGTGGGCGGAGTCTCTCAAACTGCAGTCCCGGTCGTCTCTGGTCAGCAAGTGGTTTATTGGGCGCCCAGAGTCAATCAACCGGTCGCTATGGTCACGTCACAAACGCCGACCATATTGACCCCGGTTGGTGGTGGGGTTCAGTATACTGTCTCTAGGGCTCCTCCAACTGCTGGTGGTAACAGTGTTAGTGCACTAAAGAAGAAACTATAATTGAACAAAAGAATTGTATTCCTCTTATTTCCTCCTCTCCTCATCCTCTGTCTCCTCTATGTATGATTATTATTAGTTTATTAAAAGAAAATCATTCACTTTCTCAAACACTATCACATACACAGTTTCAGCTATTGCTAATAAACTGAATGATGAGATGCATATGCTGTATAGGGGACATATTTCCCGAGGAAAATATTTCACGAAAATCACCTTTAAATCTATTCACAAGAAAAAATCTTTGCGTTTTTCTTCTAGTGACCATTATTAGTATGGTAAAAAATAATTTTCACAGATAAAATTTTTCACAAATTTTTTAAAACTGTGAAATTAGCGAAATTAAATCCTCATGAAATATACCCCTATACGGTATACATATACGTTATACATATATGTAGACTACATTTAGGTTAAAAATATGTGGAATTATTTCTTTGTGCGTTAATTTACTTATTACTTCTCACTATTCTAGTTAGATGATTCATTATGCACAAAATTAATAATAATAATAATATAACACAATTAGACAACTGAGAATGAGAGAGATCGAAAGAAAAGATAATAGTGAGAGAGAACAAACAAATATATAAACAACAATAATAATAATAATAACATGATTGCTGATAGATAAAGAGATAATATTAACTGGTTGCATTAAAATGAGTCAGAAAGTCATCCGGATTGAAAGGGAGGGACAGGAGTCTATGCCTCTCCTTCAGATTACGAGCCCTCGTGTGAGCATTTTCAATCTCTGTTGTAAAATTAGACGGGAACCAGCCCCACTGAAGATCACGCATTCTCTCCCCCTCATACCATCCTAGAGAACGAAACAGTGACTCACCGTATAGCAGGGTTTTTTGCGGATAATAATTTTAGCGAATGGCCAATATCCAGAAGTTCGCAGGATTAATTTTCGCAATTTTCCACTATTCTGCCATCTTGTACCGTATTGAATTGATTGTCAAGGAATTTAATTTTGCAAATCTTTAATCTTGAAAAATCTGCAAAATTCGCGACATTTGTTATCCTCGAAATAAACCCGCTATACGGTAAATTCTCATTCTTTAAATTCTCTTTCTCTCTCAATTTTTACCGTCGGCCATCTTCCGATACACTTTAACAATGTCTCCTCTCATTAGCCCTAGCTCATCATGTTGCTTAGGAGTATAGTCATACACTGCCTGAACTTGAGGACAATCTAAATAATAATAAAATAACAATAATAGCATTTTAAATAATAATTGTTGTTGTTATTATTATTACCCCAAGTTTCGTAAATCTTTTCGTCTTCTTTTTGTTTCTCTTTTGCCGGGTGGGTCAAGGCTTCCAGCCATCTTGTTTGATCCGTTCTACAAAAAAATTGAAGATACATAAATTTATCTTTCGAGCAATCTTTTCTCAATCTTTTGTTTTTTTTTCTTTTCCCTCACTTACTCATTCTGAGATATCATAATGTATTTCTCGGACTTTTGACACGAGTTCTCTAAAAATATCAACAAGAAGGCATGGTGCTCTTCCGCCATCGACACCGCCCACGTTGCCTTGGCAACGGTCTCCTGCTCTCCGAAGACGTGCTTTGGATAAGTGACGTTGGGAAGAACCTTCAGCTTGTCGATGGTCTCCAGGACGGCCTTGGAAGCGTAATCAAGTACTCGATAAGTGATAGCATTAGTCTTTGGACTATGGGGCGAAAGATAGTTCTAATTAAAGGGATGGGAAAATATTACTTGGTCTTTTTCTTAGTGATGAGAACGTAGTCAGTAAAAGCAAATACATGTACAGGTATTCTTCGGATTTTTGGCTTTCCGAATAGTCGTTGCTCCACCTGTAGGATTGCCAGGGGACCTTTCCTTTCTAATTGTCTTGAGACAGAGACCAACGGGAAAGGCTATAAGAGGGAGAATGTTCAAAATAAATAAATTTGGATGAATTTATGTCTTTACTTTCATTTTGAAGAACTCAAGCTGCTTGTGGATTAAGTGAAGCTCTTCGGTTCTTTCCATTTGTCTTGCACCATCATTACAGGCAGTCACTAACTAAATAACAAAAAACAATAATAATAATTATTATTAATAAATTAATAACAATTAATGTAGAGCCTTTCCTTTTTTAATTTCTTAAAATGCTAATAACTCAAAAAACATTTGTCAGAAACAGCTCAAAATTTCTACAGAGCATAAGGACATCAATATGTATCAGAAAATGTAATAAAAAGTTGGGGTGATTTCGGAGCCATTTTTTGGAAAAAACCATGGGCTATAGCCTTGGGTATTTTTCAGAATTTTGGCATTTTCTTAAAATGGCCGTAACTTGAAAAATTGAAGTTGGAATCACCTCAAACTTGCTACACAGCATAAGTACATCAATATGTATCAGAAAATGTAATAAAAATTTGGGGTGATTTCGGAGCCATTTTTTGGAAAAAACCATGGGCTATAGCCTTGGGTATTTTTCAGAATTTTGGCATTTTCTTAAAATGGCCGTAACTCGAAAAATATTTGTTGGAATTTGCTCAAACTTGCTACACAGCATAAGGACATCAATGTGTATCAAAAAATGTAATACAAATTTGAGGTGATTTCGGAGCCAATTTTTGAAAAAACCATGGGCTATAGCCTTGGGTATTTTTCAGAATTTTGGCGTTTTCTTAAAATGGCCGTAACTTGAAAAATATTTGTCGGAATTTGCTCAAACTTGCTACACAGTATAAGGACATCAATATGTATCAAAAAATGTAATAAAAATTTGAGGTGATTTTGGAGCCAATTTTTGAAAAAAACCATGGGCTATAGCCTTGGGTATTTTTCAGAATTTTGGCATTTTCATAAAATGGCCGTAACTCGAAAAATACTTGTTGAAATTTGTTCAACTTGCTACACAGCATAAGGACATCAATATCTATCAAAAAATGTAATAAAAATTTGAGGTGATTTCGGAGCCATTTTTTTGGAAAAAAACCATGGGCTATAGCCTTGGGTATTTTTCAGAATTTTGGCATTTTCATAAAATGGCCGTAACTCGAAAAATACTTGTTGAAATTTGTTCAACTTGCTACACAGCATAAGGACATCAATATCTATCAAAAAATGTAATAAAAATTTGAGGTGATTTCGGAGCCATTTTTTTGGAAAAAAACCATAGGCTATAGCCTTGGGTATTTTTCAGAATTTTAGCGTTTTCTTAAAATGGCCGTAACTCGAAAAATATTTGTCGGAATTTGCTCAAACTTGCTACATAGCATAAGGACATCAATTTGCAACAATGAAAACATAATGTATATCAGATACAGATTCTCCACACCTTCTGAACAGCTCTTAATGATTTCTCTACTATAGGATGATTTGGATTATCCATAGGCGTCCTATTCAGTATTGCTAATATCAGTAGCGGCAGTCTCGTGATCCTTTGCATTGGTAGGAGGAGAAATGAGGTCATGGAGAGGTTCTGACATCTTTTATCAGCCTCCAATCTCTTTAGGTAATCCTGGAACATCACATTAGTCTCACTAATAGAGGGAGAGGGAGGGAGAGAGAAAGAGGGGAGAGAGAGAGAGAGAGAGAGAGAGAGGAGAGAGAGAGGGAGAGAGAGAGATTGCACAATTGTATAAATGTGGTAGCTTACAGTAAACTGGTTAGTTCTCTCATTTGATACACTTGGTTTGTGCAATAAGGTACATAACAATTGAATTCACCTTCAGCCTAAGAAATAATAAAAATATGCATCCAACTAGTACAATGAAGGACCTCCTTACATATTTCACTATGATGTCGCATATGTTCTGACTAATGGCCGACTGTCTTTGC